AGTGTGTGTGTGTGTGTGTGTGTGTGTGTGTGTGTGTGTGTGTGTGTGTGTGTGTGTGTGTGTGTGTGTGTGTGTGTGTGTGTGAGAGAGAGAGAGAGTGAGAGAGGTGGTGTGTGTACCTTTTACTGAGTTATTTACTTCCAAAATCAAGACAATCCAATAATCACATCCATTTTTTTAGATAAAAAACTTTTATTAAAAAAAAAATACTTTAGCTTAAAAAGCTGACTCAAGATTTTTTTTCTTAAAAGCAAACCAGACCTGGGCCATGAAAATATCTGGCTTATCTTAATGAATAAAAAAATAAAATAAACAAACAAAATCTGATTTTAGCAACTGACAAAGAACCCCACAGACTACCCCGACAAGAAAAGCCTACCTCACGTCCAGGTCGCCCTGCGTCTGAACAGTAAGGGAGGACGTCAGCTGAAAGGAGGTGACACTGTGTATTACGTTATATGTGAGGTAAGGGAAATGTAGTTACATTATGTTTTGTATTTATCTAAGTGTGTATTCGAGTTCAGTTTCCATGTTAAAAATTTAAGATATCAGCTCTTGTGGGCCTTGGTACAATAAAATATTAGGGAAACAGTGAAAAATATGGATGCTATTTAATTGTGAGAAGCATAGAGTATATGTTGGATTAAATTACAGGTTATATTATGTGGTATTTAGAAATTATATATATTAATTAATTGGGGTCAGTTATTGTATTATACCACATGATTGAAACAAAGATATGATGAATCCATAAGAATATATCCATTTTTTTAAAAAAATCATCTTGTCATAGGATGGGTCCAGTCTGCCAGCCAGCCAGAGAGCTTATCATCCCGATGAGTTGGCCAAATCAGATACTCTGAAGATAGGTAGGCTATGTATTATTATAATTGTTTTCTGTTAATGACTTTTTTTTTAATCAATAAATTTACATGGTTTGGTAACTGTCATCTTGAACTTCCTATTCGTGTATTCTATAATGAAAAAAAATCAGACAAAAGGTTCCTTTTTCACATTTCTGTGAAAAATACTTCATGTGTTTTATTCAAGTTACCTGAAACTCTTCATAAGGGCAAATCTAATCTAAATTATATTTCCTTTGTCAGTTGCTCAGAATGCTTTTTATGACTCATTTTCTAAACCAATGTGCAAATTGGCACACAAAGTTCATGAGGGCCATTGTGAAACAAAATGTATTGAAAATTTTATTGCTGTTTTACATTGAGTGGCGAACAATAACCAAAATGAATGATGTCCTTTATGCATTCACCCGAGCAAACAACCCCAGATAATCCTTGTCAACAAGGTCTAAACATGTTTTCATTCAATTTTGATGAAGATTATTACAGAATGATAGTGAAGTACTTCCTTGTTTGGCCGTCTGCTTTCAGTATTGGCTCCAATTATGCACATGAACAACTTCTTTGAGAACAAATAGATTGCGATTATGTTAATCAAATAATGTTGTACATGATATTATACAAAATTCATGAAACTTTAAGTGGTGCACCAGAATCCATTAAATATTTACTAGAGTTTTCTAAGTAATCGTTACAGTGTCCACTTGAGCAATTTCTCCGAGTACTGTTACAAAGAGTAAGCAATTGGGAGGTTATCCTTCTCTTAGGATTTTTGTTCTCGTTCATTATTATTTTACTAAAACCACCAGTGAACAAAGAACTTTGTAACTTTTTGGATTATTTTATGTGGCAATTACTTGAAGATTATCCCAATAAAGGAACGGGTATGCTTTCTTTCCTGTCTAGTGAAACTGATGAAATTGTTACGATGCATTAAGAATACACCTCCACATGGTCATCAATATATGTTCAGTCACAGCTGTGGACAATTTGTTGACAGAATGCCTTATGGATTAATTGGCGAAAAATCTGTTATTCAGTACTTTTAATTTCAACAAAATGTCGTCATTTTAGCTGTACTTGCTTAACACCTGTTTGTACGTAATTAAGTGGACAAGTTGAGATGGGGTGAAACAAATTATAGATCATAATCGATAGATAAGCCTGCTGAAATTTTTTTTTTAAACAGCTGGACATTTGGTCTGACTGGCAGTATGATGAAAAATTTGCCTGGCTGACTGTAAATTCAAAATGGCAGCTCTTAATTTAGATTTTTGTTTGGTCTTTTGGACCAACTGCACACAATTTTTCTACTGATCTTAAAAAATATCAGTCTTGGCCAGTTTGACCGACATTTTTAGCATGTCTGCAATAAGCTCATAACCCCTTTATTGCCAATACCAGGCTGAATCTTATTCGGTCATTTTAACCAGTGTTTGCCCAAATGGAGTTTTGTTGTTCAATCAGATACTTCTCCCATACATTATAGGTACAACCATTTAAATACATTTTAAAGTCATTCTGTGCATACATTGTTTGAGGAAATATATGAGAGATTTGAGTTTTATTGCCAGTTAATTCCATGGTGTTGGATAATTTGGTCATTTTTGCCCTTAATGACTTGGCCAAAAGTTGTTTGTTAACAATGAGAATTAATTCTGTGGAGTGGGTTTAAGTTTTGGTCTTTTTTCCAATTCATATTAGAAATTTAATTTTCATCTTGGCTGTTTTCACACCTTAAATGGCCCTAGATCCCTAGTTGAAAGGTCATTAAGTTATTTTTACCTACTTCTTACTTAAACTCCAAATAATCTCTGAAGGTTGGTATTTATATTAGAATTGGAGCCAATGTGCAGTAATTGTCTGAAAAATCATGAAATGAGTTTGAAATGTTGAAATTTCAGACAACAAATATTACCTGAGCAGTCAGGTGCATCCAGTGGTATCCAGATTGTGCGACCCTATAGAGGGCACTGACGCAGCTCACATTGCGGAGTGTCTTGGTAAGTTGTTCTCTAGGGGACATTTCGGAGATTTTTTTTTCCAATATTAATACACACTTTGGTCATATTCAACATTGATTGGATATTGAATTATAGCTTTTTACTTTTAACTTATACTTTCATGAAATACTGACTCTTTCTTACATCTTAGCAGTGAAAAATACTTACCAGATTACTTGACCTTATCCATTCTGATTAATTTCTAAGGTCTGGACCCCACTGGTTACAAACATGCAATAAGTCGTAACGAAGACCGCGACGACGAAGCCATGTTGTCTGTTGCCTTGTCTGAGGCAGAAAAGTACAAGGATTGCGACCCGTTAAAAGTCAGCTGTCCTGCTTGTGAAAGAGAAATCATCTTTGATAATGTGTTCACAGTTTTGGTAAGTTGGCGTTGATTCTTTTTGACCATTCCACAGTGAAGATTAGACTTACTGTTCTTCGTAAACACCATAGGTTTGGAACATGGTGAATGTGATCTTTTTACAGTCAAAAGCTAACTTAAAGTCTCTTTTCACAATGAGTGGTACACTTTATTGGACTGGTACACTTCAAGAGATAGACAACTTAGCAGCCTATAGCTAGCTACTTTACTTAAGGGTGTATTCAGAATACGTTGATCTGTGGACTAACTGATCTGCAGATAAAGTATGGCCGATCCACTTGAAAGCAATGCTGCATAATCTCCTGATGGGTTCCCTGCCTCCCACACTTGCCATCCCTGCAGGGGATTACATGTTAGGCATACTACAGAGTGTACCAGAATATGCTGGATCAGTAAAATTTACTGTCCAATGTGAAAAATTACTTAGTTTTGGAGTGTTCACTGTAAAGTATTATAACTGCAAGAATCATAAAGTTGAAATGTGAAAATTTTTCTCCCATTTTTCGGAATCGACATTTGAGTGTTCACTGTAAGACTAGTGTTATAACGCCAATCATCTTATAGTTTTGTGAACATTTGTCTCCCATTTTGAGTGTTTGTGTGTTCCCTGTCATAGGGTTTTAATTCATATCATAATCATAAAGTTTTACGAACTTTTATTCTCTGTTTTTCAGGAGCCAATGTTTGAGTGTTCCCTGTCAAAGTGTCCTAACCCCCAGTGTACCAACAACCCATCCTGCTTCGTGCCACTGATCCAGAATAAACTGACGCTGGCCATCAGGGGCCACCTTCAAAAATACTACCAGGTAAGATAATGACCCAGTCTTTTCAATGGGCAAAATTATCAAACTTCAAAAATACTACCAGGTAAGCAAAGCTCAGCAACCATCACTGCAACAACACTGCCAGATATTGGTGTGTTCTCAGTTATGTGCATGTAAATTTGTTATGGTAATCACTCGTGCGTCGTAGAGGTAATCCATATCAGTGATATGGACACAATATGCAAAAGGGTACATGCAAGCAAGCAAGTATGATAGCTTACAATAAACACATTTATATTTTTAAAAAACATTGCAATACTCCTCATAGAGGGATATGGCTCAGTTTGAAATAGTAAGATTTGTCCACTACTTATCAAGCTGGTCTAGGAAAGGTTAGCAATGATTATTATTAAAATGATTAAACTTTCCCGATTGTTTGGAAAGCCCCATACTTGGGTGTTGCAGAACTCTGTACCTTCAGATTGAAACTACAATATACAATTTTATTTTTCACAATCAATTTTGAAGAGATACTCAACTGTTAACGTGCTGTAATCTGTTTCATATTCCATTTGCAGGGCTGGATGAAATGTGAGGACTCTGCGTGTAGTGCGAGGACTCGGCGGCTCCCTCTGGTTTTCCAAAGGGGGCACCCCGTGTGCCAGGCCTGCCATCGCGGCACCCTGCATCCCGAGGTGAGTTTTGGGACAAATGCATTTTCTGTGGTGTGATGTGAACAAAATTGCTTACAATTGCACAAATTGTAAATTTAATAGCCTTATGTACCCCTGTGTGTATGTGCAAGCATGTGCGTATGTGCATGTGTGCTTTGCATCGCATGTAAATCAATAAAAAGAATTAATATAAATACATATAAAGTTCATTACAATTAAAGAAAAATGAGAGTTTAGATCACAGTTAAGTTGAAAATTATTATTAGGCATAGAATTTGATAAACTAGGGTTAAACAAGCATCCAAGCAGCTAGAAGTCTGCTAACCCTTGTGTGAACAGGTCTAAGTGTAGTTTGACTGTTACATATCCCAATATCCATGTACGTGAACAGCAGTGCATCTGTGCGTGTTGTTTGGTATGTGATTGCGATGTAGAAGTATGTGACGTCTGCCATATCATCANATGTGTGTGTGTGTGTGTGTGTGTGTGAGAGAGTGAGAGAGGAGGTGTGTGTACCTTTTACTGAGTTATTTACTTCCAAATCAAGACGATCCACTAAGCACATCCATGTTTAAAAAAAAGCTTTTATGTCAAAAAAACAAAAAAAATAAACTTTAGCCTAAAAAGCTGATTTAAGATTTTTTCTTAAAAGCAAACCAGACCTGGGTCATGAAAATATCTGGCTTATCTTAATGAAAAAAAAATCTGATTTCAGCAACTGACGAAGAACCCCACAGACTACCCCGACAAGAAAAGCCTACCTCACGTCCAGGTCGCCCTGCGTCTGAACAGTAAGGGAGGACGTCAGCTGAAGGGAGGTGACACTGTGTATTATGTTATATGTGAGGTAAGGGAAATTTAGTTACTTTATGTTTTGTATTTATCTAAGTTGTGTGTATTAGAGTTCAATTTCCATGTTGATTTTAATATTTTTGGTGCCTGTTAAAAATTTAAGATATCAGCTCTTGTGGGCCATGGTACAATAAAATATTAGGGAAACAGTGAAAAATATGGATGCTATTTAATTGTGAGAATTAAGCATAGAGTATATGTTGGATTAAATTACAGGTTATATTATGTGGTAATTAGAAATTATATATATTAATTAATTGGGGTCAGTTATTGTATTATACCACATGATTGAAACAAAGATATGATGAATCCATAAGAATATATCCATTTTTTAAAAAAAAATCATCATGTCATAGGATGGGTCAAGTCTGCCAGCCAGCCAGAGAGCTTATCATCCTGATGAGTTGGCCAAATCAGATACTCTAAAGATAGGTAAGCTATATATTATTATAATTGTTTTCTGTTAATGACTTTTTTTAATCTATAAATTTTCATGGTTTGGAAAATGTCATCTTGAACTTCCTATTCGTGTATTCTATAATGAAAAAAAATCAGACAAAAGGTTCCTTTTTCACATTTCTGTGAAAAATACTTCATGTGTTTTATTCAAGTTACCTGAAACTCTTCATAAGGGCAAATCTAATCTAAATTATATTTCCTTTGTCAGTTGCTCAGAATGCTTTTTATGACTCATTTTCTAAACCAATGTGCAAATTGGCAGACAAAGTTCATGAGGGCCATTGTGAAACAAAATGTATTGAAAATTTTATTGCTGTTTTACATTGAGTGGCGAACAATAACCAAAATGAATGATGTCCTTTATGCATTCACCCGAGCAAACAACCCCAGATAATCCTTGTCAACAAGGTCTAAACATGTTTTCATTCAATTTTGATGAAGATCATTACAGAATGATAGTGAAGTACTTCCTTGTTTGGCCGTCTGCTTTCAGTATTGGCTCCAATTATGCACATGAACAACTTCTTTGAGAACAAATAGATTGCGATTATATTAATCAAATAATGTTGTACATGATATTATACAAAATTCATGAAACTTTAAGTGGTGCACCAGAATCCATTAAATATTTACTAGAGTTTTCTAAGTAATCGTTACAGTGTCCACTTGAGCAATTTCTCCGAGTACTGTTACAAAGAGTAAGCAATTGGGAGGTTATCCTTCTGTTAGGATTTTTGTTCTTGTTCATTATTATTTTACTAAAACCACCAGTGAACAAAGAACTTTGTAACTTTTTGGATTATTTTATGTGGCAATTACTTGAAGATTATTCCAATAAAGGAACGGGTATGCTTTCTTTCCTGTCTAGTGAAACTGATGAAATTGTTATGATGCATTGAGAATACACCTCCACATTGCCATCAGTATTTGTTCACTCACAGCTGTGGACAATTTGTTGACAGAATGCCCTATGGATTAATTGGCGAAAAATCTGTTACTCAGTACTTTTAATTTCAACAAAATGTCATTTTAGCTGTACTTGCTTAACACCTGTTTGTACGTAATTAAATGGACAAGTTGAGATGGGGTGAAACAAATTATAGATCATAATCGATAGATAAGCCTGCTGAAAATTTCTTTTTGGTCTGACTGGCAGTATGATGAAAAATTTGCCTGGCTGACTGTAAATTCAAAATGGCAGCTCTTAATTAAGATTTTTGTTTGGTCTTTTGGACCAACTGCGCACAATTTTTCTACTGATCTTAAAAAATATCAGTCTTGGGCAGTTTGACCGACATTTTTAGCATGTCTGCAACAAGCTCATAACCCCTTTATTGCCAATACCAGGCTGAATCTTATTCGGTCATTTTAACCAGTGTTTGCCTAAATGGAGTTTTGTTGTTCAATCAGATACTTCTCCAATGCGTTATGGGTAAAACCATTTAAATACATTTTAAAGTCATTCTGTACATACATTGTTTAAGGAAATATATGAGAGATTTGAGTTTTATTGCCAGTTAATTCCATGGTGTTGGATAATTTGGTCATTTTTGCCCTTAATGCCCGTTTTGTTATCAATGAGAATTAATTCTGTGGAGTGGGTTTAAGTTTTGGTCTTTTTTCCAATTCATATTAGAAATTTAATTTTCATCTTGGCTGTTTTCACACCTTAAATGGCCCTAGACCCCTAGTTGAAAGGTCATTAAGTTATTTTTACCTACTTCTTACTTAAACTCCAAATAATCTCTGAAGGTTGGTATTTATATTAGAATTGGAACCAATGTGCAGTAATTGTCTGAAATATCACTAAATGAGTTTGAAATGTTGAATTTTCAGACAACAAATATTACCTGAGCAGTCAGGTGCATCCAGTGGTATCCAGATTGTGCGACCCTATAGAGGGCACTGATGCAGCTCACATTGCGGAGTGTCTTGGTAAGTTGTTCTCTAGGGGACATTTCGGAGATTTTTTTTCCCAATATTAATACACACTTTGGTCATATTCAACATTGATTGGATATTGAATTATAGCTTTTTACTTTTAACTTATACTTTCATGAAATACTGACTCTTTCTTACATCTTAGCAGTGAAAAATACTTACCAGATTACTTGATCTTATCCATTCTGATTAATTTCTAAGGTCTGGACCCCACTGGTTACAAACATGCAATAAGTCGTAACGAAGACCGCGACGACGAAGCCATGTTGTCTGTTGCCTTGTCTGAGGCAGAAAAGTACAAGGATTGCGACCCGTTAAAAGTCAGCTGTCCTGCTTGCGAAAGAGAAATCATCTTTGATAATGTGTTCACAGTTTTGGTAAGTTGGCGTTGATTCTTTTTGACCATTCCACAGTGAAGATTAGACTTACTGTTCTTCGTAAACACCATAGGTTTGGAACATGGTGAATGTGATCTTTTTACAGTCAAAAGCTAACTTAAAGTCTCTTTTCACAATGAGTGGTACACTTTATTGGACTGGTACACTTCAAGAGATAGACAACTTACCAGCCTATAGCTAGCTACTTTACTTAAGGGTGTATTCAGAATACGTTGATCTGTGGACTAACTGATCTGCAGATAAAGTATGGCCGATCCACTTGAAAGCAATGCTGCATAATCTCCTGATGGGTTCCCTGCCTCCCACACTTGCCATCCCTGCAGGGGATTACAAGTTAGGCATACTACAGAGTGTACCAGAATATGCTGGATCAGTAAAATTTACTGTCCAATGTGAAAAATTACTTAGTTTTGTAGTATTCACTGTAAAGTATTATAACTGCAAGAATCATAAAGTTGAAATGTGAAAATTTTTCTCCCATTTTTCAGAATCGACATTTGAGTGTTCACTGTAAAACTAGTGTTATAACGCCAATCATCTTATAGTTTTGTGAACATTTGTCTCCCATTTTGAGTGTTTGTGTGTTACCTGTCATAGGGTTTTAATTCATATCATAATCATAAAGTTTTATGAACTTTTATTCTCTGTTTTTTAGGAGCCAATGTTTGAGTGTTCCCTATCAAAGTGTCCTAACCCCCAGTGTACCAACAACCCATCCTGCTTCGTGCCACTGATCCAGAATAAACTGACGCTGGCCATCAGGGGCCACCTTCAAAAATACTACCAGGTAAGCAAAGCTCAGCAACCATCACTGCAACAACACTGCCAGATATTGGTGTGTTCTCAGTAATGTGCATGTAAATTTGTTATGGTAATCACTTGTGCTTAGTAGATATGGACACAATATGCAAAAGGGTACATGCAAGCAAGCAAGTATGATAGCTTACAATAAACACATTTATATTTTAAAAAACATTGCAATACTCCTCATAGAGGGATATGGCTCAGTTTGAAATATCAGTAAGATTTGTCCACTACTTATCAAGCTGGTCTAGAAAAGGTTAGCAATGATTATTATTAAAATGATTAAAATTTCCCGATTGTTTGGAAAGCCCCATACTTGGGTGTTGCAGAGCTCTGTACCTTCAGATTGAAACTACAACTGGAAAAATCCAAATATACAATTTTATTTTTCATAATCAGTTTTGAAGAGATATTCAACTGTTAACACACTGTAATCTGTTTCATATGTCATTTGCAGGGCTGGATGAAATGTGAGGACTCTGCGTGTAGTGCGAGGACTCGGCGGCTCCCTCTGGTTTTCCAAAGGGGGCACCCCATGTGCCAGGCCTGTCATCGCGGCACCCTGCATCCCGAGGTGGGTTTTGGGACAAATGCATTTTCTGTGGTGTGATGTGAACAAAATTGCTTACAATTGCATGAATTGTAAATTTAATAGCCTTATGTACCCCTGTGTGTATGTGAAAGCATGTTCGTATATGCATGTGTGCTTTGCATCGCATGTAAATCAATAAAAAAGAATTAATATAAATACATATAAAGTTCATTACAATTAAAGAAAAATGAGAGTTTAGATCACAGTTAAGTTGAAAATTATTATTAGGCATAGAATTTGATAAACTAGGGTTTAACAAGCATCCAAGCAGCTAGAAGTCTGCTAACCCTTGTGTGAACAGGTCTAAGTGTAGTTTGACTGTTACATATCCCAATATCCATGTACGTGAACAGCAGTGCATCTGTGCGTGTTGTTTGGTATGTGATTGCGATGTAGAAGTATGTGACGTCTGCCATATCATCT